CATCTTGAGCAGTCCCTCTAAAATACCCTGTCGAGGTGTTTTGTGGGAGGTAAATTCCCTTTACTTTTGCTTGTCTGGGAATTGTTTAATCCCTCCTTCATATTTAAATGGTAATCGTGGTGGATACAGTATCCTTGGTTCAAGGCCCTTCTGTTTCATTGCATTAAATATATCATGCCATTCTCTTCTGGCCTGTAAGGTTTCTGTTGAGAAGTCTGATGATAGCCTGATGCGTTTTCCTTTGTAGGTGACCTTTTTCCTCACTCTAGCTGCCTTTAATACTCTGTCCTTGTCCTTGATCTTTGTCATTTTAATTATTATGTCTTAGTGTTGTCCTCTTTGCGTCCCTTCTGTTGGGAGTTCAGTGTGCTTCCGTGTTCTGAGCAATTATTTCCTCCCCCAGTTTGGGGAAGTTTTCAGCAATTATTTCTTCAAATACTCTTTCTATCCCTTTTTCTGTCTTCTTCTTCTGGTACCCCTATAATGCAAATATTGTTCGTTTGGACTGGCCACACAGTTCTCTTAATATTCTTTCATTCCTGGAGATCCTTTTATCTCTCTCTGTGTCAGCTTCTCTGCGTTCCTGTTCTCTGACTTCTATTCCATTAACAGCCTCTTGCACCCCATCCAGTCTGCTCTTAAATTCTTTCACAGATTGTTTCATTTTTGTAATCTCCCTCCAGACTTCATCCCTTAGCTCTTGCATATTTCTCTGAATATCCATCAGTACGGTTTTGACCTTTATTTTGAATTCTTTTTCTGGGAGTTTGGCTAGGTCTATACTCTCCGTCCCTCTCTCAGGAATTGTCTGGACTATTTTGGCCTGGACTAAATTCTTCTGCCTTTTCATGGTGATAGAGGTAGCTGCAGGCCAGTAGCGCATGTGTCAGCTGGGAGAACAAAGTCTTTCCTGCTTGCTGGTCACCTTGCCCTTCTCCACTGCCTGTGTTGGTTATCCGCACTCCTGGAGCAGCTTCCGGATTAATCCCTAAGCTGCTGTGGGTGGGGTCTCCGTCAGAGTAGTGCAGAGTCCTATGGGGAGTGGCACACATGCCGGGTTCGCTCTCCAGTGAAAGCGGTGCCCCTGCCGAGCAGCTGTGTATCAACAGCGGCCTTTGGGTCTGGCCCGGGTGTCATTGCGCTGGGCTGAGCAGCTGCTGGGGGCACGGCTGCTCCTGGGCTGCTCCTCTGCTGCTGCTGCCAGCTCCCGCGGGCCTCTCCCGGGCCCCTCGGGCCCCACCACCACCGGCACACATGGGCTGCTCCTGGAACCTCTGGCGCTGCCTCTGCCGGCGTGTGCGGGCCGCTCCTGCACCACAGGCTCGCGCCGGCCGCTCCCAGCCCCTCTGGCGCTGCCGCCATGTGCTTGCGCAGGCCGTTCCTAGCCCCCTCCGTCACCACCACCATGGGCTCATGTGGGCCGCTCTGTCGCCACTGCTGTTGGCCCATTAGGACCAGTCCCAGGCCGCTCAGGTGTCACTGCTGTGGGCTTGCGTGGGCCACTCTGTCGCCCCCATTGCCGCCGGCCCATGTGGGCTGGCCCCGGGCAACTCGGCCACTGCTGCCGCAGGCTCACTCAGGCCGCTCCGGGGCCCCTCTGGCGCCACCTCCCCCGGCGCGTGCTGCCGCTCTCCCACTACTGGGCCAGTGTGTCGGGGTCTGCGCAGGTTGGGGGGAACAACTGACAGGCTGCATATTGTCATGAGGGGCTTCAGAGCTGCGCTGCCGCCCAGGGGGTTAGGTCATCTAGAGTTCCCCAGATTCCCAGGTGCTGGGGTGCTTGTGTTGGAATGACTTTGTCCAGCTGTGAGGTCCCTGTCCCTTTAAGACTTGGAAAAAGCACTCGCTTTTCTTTTGTCTCAGGGGTGCCATTTGCGGTGACCTGCTTGCAGGTTTTGCTTTTCCGTTTCTCTAGCATCCAGCACCCCGTGCACTGTCTGCACTCCTGGTGCAGATTTCTAGAGCTGGTTGTTTAGCAGCCCTGTGCTTCCACTCCCTCCCCACTCTGACTCCTTTCTTCCCGCTGGGGTCTGGGATATGGGGGCGTTCGCGTCCCGCTGGGCCGTGGCTTATATCTTACCCCCTTCATGTGATGCTGAGTTCTCGCAGATGTAGATGTAGCCTGGCTGTTGTACTGTATCCACTGGTGTCTCTTTTAGGAATAGTTGTGTTTGCTGTATTTTCAAAAATATATATGTTTTTGGGAGGAGATTTCTGCTGAACTACTCACGCTGCCATATTGGCTCCTCCTCTATTCCTAGGTATTTTTTTTTTTGATGCAATTGTGAATGGAATTTTTTTCCTGATTTTTCTTTCTGCTAGTTCATCGTTAATGTATAGGAATGCAACAGATTTCTGTGTATTAATTTTGTATCCCGCAACTTTGCTGAATTCAGATATTAGTTCTAGTAGTGTTGGAATGCATTCTTTAGGGTTTTTCTGTACAATATCATGTCATCTGCAAACAGGGGCAGTGTAACTTCTTCCTTACCAGTCTGGATGCCTTTTATTTCTTTGTTTTGTCTGATTGCCATGGCTAGGACCTCCAGTACTATGTTGAATAAAAGTGGGGAGAGTGCGCATCCTTGTCTTGTTCCTGATGTTAGAGGAAAAGCTTTCAGCTTCTTGCTGTTACGTATGATGTTGGCTGTGGGTTTGTCTTATATGACCTTTATTATGCTTGGCTACTTGCCCTCTATTTCCATTTTGCTGAGAGTTTTTATCATGAATGGATGTTGAATTTTGTCAAATGCTTTTTCAGCATCTATGGAGATGATCATGTGGTTTTGTCCTTCTTTTTGTTGATGTGGTGGATGATGTTGATGGATTTTTGAATGTTGTACCATCCTTGCATCCCTGGGATGAATCCCACTTGGTCATGGCGTATGATCCTCTTGATGTGTTTTTGAATTCGGTTTTCTAATGTTTTGCTGAGTATTTTTGCATCTGTGTTCATCAGGGATATCGGTCTGTAGTTTTCTTTTTTTTTGTGGTGTCTTTGTGTGGTTTTGGTATTAGAGTAATGCTGGCCTCATAGAATGAGTTTGGGAGTATTCCCTCCTCTTCTATTTTTGGAAAACTTTAAGGAGAATGGGTATTATATCTTGTCTGGACTTTATATTTTCAAATGGTTCTAAAAACACCAAAAGAAGAACAGTATCTTGAAACACATAAAAATTTATGATACTCAGCCTCTTCAAAACCTGGTGTTGGCAGAACTGGACAGCTACATGTAAGAGAATGAAACTGGATCATTGTCTAACCACATACACAAAATTAAATTTGAAATGGATAATACCTGAATGTAAGCCATGAAACCATAAAACTCTTAGAAAAAAACACAGGCAAAAATCTCTTAGACATAAACATGAGCGACTTCTTCATGAACATATCTCCCTGGGCAAGGGAAACAAAAGCAAAAGTGAACAACTGGGACTACATGAAACTGAAAAGCTTCTGTACAGCAAAGAACACCACCAATAGAACAAAAGGGCATCCTACGGTATGGGAGAATATATTCCTAAATGACAGAACCGATAAAGGGTTGACATCCAAAATATATAAATAGGTCACGCACCTCAACAAACAAAAAGTGAATAATCCAATCAAAAAATGGTCAGAGGAACTGTACAGACAGTTCTCCAAAGAAGAAATTCAGATGGCCAACAGACACATGAAAAGATGCTCCACATCGCTTGTCATCAGAGAAATGCAAATTAAAACCACAATGAGATATCACCTCACACCAGTAAGGATGGCCACCATCCAAAAGACAAACAACAACAAATGTTGGCGAGGTTGTGGAGAAAGGGGAACCCTCCTACACTGCTGGTGGGAATGTAAATTAGTTCAACCATTGTGGAAAGTAGTATGGAGATTCCTCAAAAAACTCAAAATAGAAATACCATTTCACCCAGGAATTCCACTCCTAGAAATTTATCCTAAGAATGCAGTAGCCCAGATTGAAAAAGACAGATGCACCCCTATGTTTATTGCAGCACTATTTACAATAGTCAAGAAATGGAAGCAACCTAAGTGTCCATCAGTAGATGAATGGATAAAGAAGAGGTGGTACATATACATGATGGAATATTATTCAGCCATAAGAAGAAGACAAATCCGACCATTTGCAACAATATGGATGGAGCTAGAGGGGATTATCCTCATGAAATAAGCCAGGCGGAGAAAGACAAGTACCAAATGATTTCACTCATGTGTGGAGTATAAGAACAAAGGAAAAACTGAAGGTACAAAACAGCAGCAGACTCACAGAACCCAAGAATGGACTAACAGTTACCAAAGGGAAAGGGACCAGGGAGGATTGGTGGGATCACGGGGGAAGAAAAAGAAAGGCGGCATTACGATTAGCATGCATATTTTGGGGAGGGCGGCAACGGGAAGGCTGTACAGCACAGAGAGGACAGGTAGTGATTCTACAGCATCTTAGTACGCTGATGGACAGTGACTGCAATGGGGTATGTGGGGGGAACTTGGTGATGGGGGGTGTCTAGTAAACATAATGTTGCTCATGTAATTATAGATTAATGATACCAAAAAAAATTTATGATACTCAAAATTCAGTGTCTATAAAGTTTTATTGGAACACAGCACACCCATTCATTTACATAGTGTCTATGGCTGCTTTTGTAGATAGATACTCTGGACACAGTGTAGCCTGCAAAATCTAAAGTACTTGCTGTCTGGCCTTCTGTAGAAAAAGTGTGCCAATGCCTGCTTTATAAAACAGAAATACTCATATTTCAATATGTGTACTTATTTAAGATAAATGATGGGTATAAGCATATGGCTGGAAGCCTAATTATATTCTTATTTTAGAAACCAAAAACACAGTGTTATTTAAGCATCATCATGTGAACATTTTTGCTATTACCCACAGCAAGAGCAACATAACGCTTCTAAGGGAACCCAACTTCCTCCCACAGGACTTAAGCACCCAGAGACGGCCTCACTGTGGATGACCAGCAAACACGAACACTTACCTCGTTTATTTCATTAGTTCTTCTGCCTTCAAAGCCGGCAAACACAGTACTCCCTTCCCTGCTAGGGGTCAGAGGAACAGGCGAGGATGATCTGCTATGCACAGGTGTCTCTTAAAAAGGAAAAGATGTTAATTATTCACTTGAACATCACACAGCTACTGAACTAAAGAATGCCAGAAGACCATTACAACCGGCAGGGAAGTTATTAATCTTTAACAGTAAAGTTTTCCCATTATAAAAGATAGTACCTGGAATATTATTTGCCAGAAAAAAGGGAAAAGAAACAAGTATAATACAGGCTACAACATGATCAACCTTGAAAATATTATGCTAAGTGAAATAAGCCACAGACAAAAGGCCATTTATTGTATGATTCCAGGATATGAATTGATGCCCAGTAGAAGCACATCCATAGGGACAGGAAATAATTAGTGATTGCCTAGTATGGTAAATTAGGGCTAGGGGTAGGGAACGAGGGGTGCTGACTGCTAAAGACTCATGAGACTGAGCTAAACCAGCTGGCGCCACACATTCAACTGCTGGACTGGAGGCGTGGGGGCTCTGCTCCCAGCAGCTGCTCATGGGCCTTGGTGGGGGGCCAAACTCCTGAGCTGGATTTCCAGATGAATACGCAAATGTGGGTGTGACCATGGGCTTGTCCCCATTCTTTCCCTAGGCCCTCCTGCTGCTGGGACTCCTTTCAGGAGTGCAGTGCCTGGCCCAGGCCAAGCACAAAGTAAATGGCCTCACTGCGCCCCGGAATGGACCTACTCTTTTCCAGGTGCAGGAACAGCTTGGGCATGCTGGCGGACGTGTCCTGCTGCCGGCGCTTGGGCTGAGGAGAGGCACTGCTCTCAGACAGCCTGTCGCAGTTGGCAGAGTGGCGTGTTGACCGCCTCAGGGACTGCAAGGCTTCTGGCTCGGCTTTGCGCCTTTTGGGGGTGGCCGGTTCACCTGTGGTTGGCTGACTCTCCGTGGACTGTGGTGTGGATGGATTCAACAAAGGGGGGCTTGGAGACAGCTCCTCCTGGTTCCTGTGGAAGAGGGGAGATCATCATACACACCCAGTGCACAGGATCTCTGCAAAACTTAGAGGGGTTCTTCAATGTCTTCCTTTAGTCCAAATAGAACACATACTCTTGACTCCACTGCAGGGCAGTTATACACTTTCACTTCCAAATGTGCCAAAACAAATGTTTTCTGAGAGGAGTTAGACATACTAAATCATTGTAATCCTCTCCATATTTCTGAGGCACGCTAGCATTAAGACAGTGATGCCCCCTTTATATTTGTCTTAGAGCAGTGGTGCTCAACTGAGAGTGATTTTGCTCAGCCAGGGGATACCAGTACTGTGGGGAGACAACTTAGGTTGTCACAGCTGGGGAAGTGCTCCTGGCATGTAGTGGGTGGAGGCTGGAGATGCTGCTCTGTATCCCCCAGCGGCCAGGGTGGCCCCACCAGAGAGTGATCCAGCTCAAACACCAATAGGCGCAAGGCTGAGGGACCCTGCTCGAGAGAACAAGCGTACTACATTCTCTCCTCACAGTGTAACTACTCAACAGGGCTAGAAAGGCCCCAAGTATCAGTCCGACCTTGTGAAACACAGTCTACCCCGGACCGGACACTGGGAACCTTGAGGTTTGAAGTAGAGCATGGGGGCATCCAGAGAGACCCTGAATGAACTGCACAGACCTCTCATCTGAGACGAAACCAAAGGGAAGGGTAGCAGCCTGAGAAGAGAGGTCATAAAGCAGACAGAGAATGAGGGTAAAGGTGCTGTGAAGGGCAAGAAGGGGATGCAGGGGAAAGGGGGCTGGTACAGAGCACGGAGCGCTGCGGGTGGGAAGCGTCAGTGCCTCCCTGGGAGAGCAGGGCGAGCAGGGGCAGTGGTGGACAAAGGCAGCTGGAAGGCAGGCAAGGGGAGATGGAGGAGTGGACGTGAAAACAGAGCGCTCCCTCGGGAAGAGGAGCATGAGGGAGACAGGGAAGCAGCTTATACAGATGAAGTACAGACCTAAGGTTGGGGGATTTCCCCCCTCCTCTCCAGCAAAAAAATAGAGACTGGGGCGTGCTCGGTCAGTGAGGGAACAAAGTGGGGACATGGCGCGGAAGGGAACTAACCTTTACTTGAGAGCCAAAGGTGGCCAGCCCGTCACGAACTTCCTCATGTAATAACCACCCGAACAAGATGTTCTTTCCATTGTCCAGAGGCAGAAGCAAAAGGCACAGAAAGCCTCCCCAAGGCACACAACCAGTACGTGAGGGAACTCAATTCAAACCCACATCTTCTACCCTTCTCAGCCTGTGCTCTCTTTGCCCAACTGTCTTTGGAAAGATGGCGACAGCTGCTCAAAATCCAACCAAGTTTTGGCACTGGAATCTTCACTTGGTAAAATCTTTCAGAGCCATCTGAAAGCAAAGGACTTAGCTAACCCAGGAAAACCCCGGCAGCACGGGCACTTTGAGCCTTCGCCCTCCCCCAGACCTGCGGGCCCCACAGCGTCAGGTGGAAATGAGAAATCATTTGCTGACATCTCATGGCCCAACTGCACGCTGTCTAACTTACCTATTAGGGTTGGTGGCACTTTCTTTAATTGGAAGAAAAAATTTGGACGAAGTCACCTTTTTATACTGCACTTGTTCATACGGATAGAGCAAAACCAATGGGAGAGTGTAATCAAAAGTTATCCTTAATCCATCCACCATCTCCTTACAAAGGTCAACGCTAGGAGAATCAAAAAGAAAAGATTAGAGATGCAATACTTTCCAAAAGGTCATGATGAAGTTTCACATTTTTAATAAGGTGGAGTTTTAAACTTAAATAAAGAACGAAATGAATTTGTAAATGCTAACAATTAAATCAGAATAAGTAACAAAGTGCAGAAAGTACACACCAGTAGTTTTAATTTAGCACACTGAACACAAATACATTAAGCACCATGAGTGCTGCATGAATATGTGAGTACATTCATGTGCTGCAGAAGGGGGACAGACTGCGATCCCTGGGAGCGGAAGGGTGCAGGCCCAGTGATCTACTCCTCACGCTTGTTTCGACTCCAACAATCTCCCTGTCTGCCTCCACTCCTGCTCTTTGCTGGGTCACATGAGCAAGGCAGACTATGAGGACAATTACCTGAACTGGAATAAAGACCCATGTGCAAACAAGTCTTGGTGAAATTCTCATCACCCATTCTGGTGCTTCTCAAGGAAACAAGTTATTTCCCTACAACGTATCACTGACAAAAGCTGGTCTTGGTGTTAGAGCAGTGCACACTCTCAAGGCATCCAGATTACAGGCCTGAACAGTGACTTAATTTTGAAAAAGGGACAGTATTCTGTTACGAAATTAGTTACTATTAGTAAATGAATTAAGCTAATTATTAAGTAATATATTAGATAAACTCCAAATTACAGAAATGGAGACAGTGTTACCTGTTCTAAATGGAAGTCACTTCTCTAAGATACAGAGAGAGAACCAGGGGACAGCAGTGCCCTCCACCCCCTACTCACTTCTTCTCTGCCGGGATATAATGCACATTCATGTTGGTGTGTGGCACAGCATGATGGTGACGAGGCCTCTCATGGGCTGAAAAGGCTGCATTGATAGCAAAATGCTTCACGTAGGATTCCAAAATAGTTATGATGTTGGTCTGGCATGGAAGTTTCACTAACTGTTAACAAAAATATATTCATCTGTTATATGTATCCCATTGTATAAATCACATAGTTCAAGAAACAGTGATCTTGTCTCTACCCTTTCTTAAAACTCAAAAAAATAAAGCCAATTCTGCTCAGAGGAAAATCTTCTAAATAAATATGCTTTGAGCTCTCTGATCTTTTTTTCTTCTACTGAGCATATCCCCATGTAGATTATGGTTTTCACTTTTAAAATAAATGTAAGCAGTGATTTTCATCTTAGTGATCCTGGGGCGCTTCCAAGACTATGTCCACAGCTGGCTTCCACCAGACCAAATGCATCTCAACCTCTTGAGGTTGCAAAGCTCCCGAGAGGATTCTAATGGGCAGGCAGAGCTGGGAAAGACTACCTGCACAGTAATTTAATCAATAGCACACCACTATTGTCAGAGAACTTTAAAACCTGACTCAGTCCAAAACTTAAAATGTGAATTCCACTCTTCCAAGTTTCTCAACTGTTTTGAGTCTGTGACTGCAAAATATGGCTAAACAAAACCTGTATTAGAAATCCATGTTTTATGTGCTCTCCCTGTATACCCGTTTCCTCCTGTTGATGTAGTAACAATCATCCTCAAGCTTCTTCTTCAGAACTTCAGGGATTTCTATAGTTATTGTTCTTTCTTCCATTTCCCTTTTCGTGTGCAGCTCTGGTTCTTCCTTCTGCAATACCACAATTCCATTTTTAACATCTATATTCAAAGAAAGACTAACACATGAGCACTTACTATGAAACAAACCCAGTTACTCCTCAACATTGACACCGATGATGATGCTAACGTGTTCCAGAGAAAAGTATGTTAAGGGTTAAAATTAGCTTGTTTTCGGGCACTTTGCAAATGCGTATTCTGTTTCTCCTGTTTAAGTTTACCAGTGGGATTTGTTAACTCTGAAGGCAGGCAGAAGATGCCATACTTTGATACACATTTAAAAATTAATCACCATTATAAAAATAAAGCTTACAATTGATCGGAAAGAGAATAACTATGATTTGTGAAAGCACCTTATGGGTATAAAGAGCCACTGACAGGGTCGTACAATGACTATAAATAAGGGTTATTTTCCTTTAACTATCAAGGACAACTTCACAGTATTTGGCTAAAAAAATATATTTTTACAAAATAATTTACAACTGGTGAATTTTACCACATAATTTTACCACTAATATATATACAAGGGAGTTTTTATAATAAAAACTTTGTACCACTTCAGTCTTTTCTTCAATATCACTTTCTTCACTTATTTCTTCATCCTTTTCTTCACTGCTGTCATCAGTGGAACTGCTTATTGCTAGGTAAAAGACAAAACATCAGTCAAACCTGCACTAGCTACTTCCCTAACCCTTACAATTCTTTAAGGGGAAGTGTCATACTGCAATAATAAACTGCAGTCCTGCATATATTTGAAGTGCTGAACACAAATACTGTACTTGGCGAACAAATTTATTTTGTGAAACATAACACCAATTTCAATGAATGCAAAAATGACAAGTTAATGTATCTGAAAGTGTTCAGTCACCTAGGATCCTACGGTTCCCTGTTGCATTCATAAGTGGGACCACAGCCCAGAAGGTGCCAAGAAGAAAATCTGAGGCATTAGTATAAAGACACTGGCTAAGAAGGCAGTGGTTGTGAGCATGATTAATGAGGTCTAATTATGGACTTATTTACTACTTTGTCAAAAACAAAAGGGGCAAATGTTTTATGTAATGAGCTTAAAATGTTTCCCTGTCTATAATTTTAATGAATCCTCCCCTTCAATCCTGCAGAATAAAAGAACTAGGTAAAAGTTCTTTTAGCCAGAGAAAATGAAGTCAAGGCACTCACAGTTTTCATCATTTTCATCTTTTTCTTCAACGGGGAGGCTTTTTAAGACGGAGTCGACACCAGGCAACCTGCAGCGTTTCTTCTTTCTTCCTGTGCGTCTCCTGAAAAAGATAAACACGATTGAAATAAATTTCCATATTAACCGATATGGGTCTTGAGGTAAAAACAAAATATAATAAACAATGATTCTTAAGTATTTGAGAAACAATTGAACCTTAGAACCTAAGTGGTAATCTCATTTCCAGAATATTACATAGTAACTGCTGAAAACACGGGAGTTACTTACAATACAAACAGACTCACACTATACACTTCAACCATGTTTACCATATTTTGACTTCTGAAATTCTGAACAATGAAACACATTGAATAACACTTAATGTCACAATTTTTGAATTCTTACAGGCGAGCTACAGCTTTTCTTGCCAGTTTACGCTGTAATCTCCGATTTTCATCCGTGTCACGAAGGACATGATCTTCAGCTGCCCATCTATCCCAGCTAATCAAACAAAAAAGGAAAAGGATTGTACAATTCAGTGTTTTAGTTTGATATGAAACAAATGCTAAAAGCACCTCACATGGAAAGAGGTGCCCCAGAATAATTAACTTTAGAAAACTATTTAAATATTTTAAAATCACAAAAAAGATTCTAACAAACTGAAAAAGGAATTCAGACACAAAAGCAACTGGGGTTTCCCTAACTTCCCACAGAGAATCCAAATACAACTGACTTAAAAGTAATCGTTCTTCAGAATAGGCAAGGTTGATAAAAAAGCAAAAACAGGAAATGAAGCTTTTCTACAAGTGTCTGTAAAACTTAACAGAGAAGTTTGCAATGTACCTGTGCTGCAAACATTATCAATTTTCAGTTCAGTTTAGCAAGTACACTCACCTTCTGTTCCAACCATTAAAATGGATCAGATATTCTGGGATTTTTCTGCCTTTTTCGTCTTTTCCAACAATAACATCGACAATCTGAAAACAGGCAATATTGTCCACAGATGATAAAACATCCAGAATACTAGAAGCTGGATCGGAAAAACTAGATCATAGACCTTTTATTAAAAGAAAAGAAAGCATTCTTTTCTTTTTTAGACCCAGAGCTGGGTTGAAACATTTTTCCTTTCAATTCCATTTTTCCCCTGAGTGGATGCCTCAAAATAGGAAACATCCCTCCAACCACCCCATGATTGGCCTCTGACTGTGAGACACAGTGCAGCTTCGAAAGCCACTGGCCGGCCGATGTGTCGTTTAAGGAGAGTCCAGGCTGGAGAAGCGAGCTGCAGCACTGAGAGCTCTGGGAGTTGTAGTCTCCCCGGCTCCAATGCTTCCAGGGTCAGGATGTCTGTCAGATTACACCATCCTTCCCAGCGGTGTCCCCAGAGGGAACATCTGGGGCAAATGATGGGGCGTGTCACCCCTGGGAAGACTCAGCGAGAGGAGGTAGGAGGCACAGCAAAGAGACAGGGGCTACCAGGGCAGTACTGTAAAGTACAACACGCACAGCCCGGAGGCCTTGAGAAGTCCCCCAGAGGGCAGAGCTACCCAGACGCAGCTGGGGCCCTGGGTGAGCTCCCACCCCAGGACTGCGATGCCCACTCCCTCCCGCCATCAAGGCCTGAGGACTTGCAGATGTGACTCAATACCCCCGAGACGTAGATGGACGGGATCGGGCACGTCTCAGGGATTGAAAACTTAACCGTGACAAGGCCCTAGGGGACGAAGTCACCGAGTAAACCTTGCCCTACGGGAGGAATCGGACCCACACTCGAATGGAGCCCCGACGTAGCGAATCGCCGACCAGCACTGTGACGCTATGAGTTTGGACCTGAGTCGGTCGGTCAGGGAGTTCCACCGGAGGCCACGCAGCGCTAGAGAGCGCAGCATAGATTTAACTCGTGCAGAGTGGCCTCCGGCAAGAGGCCTGGCTGACAGACACCGGGCTCTTGCTAGCGTCGCGCTCGCAAACCGACACTACTGTTCCAGCATTGCGACACCGCACGCGCGAGGTTTACGACGGCGCGTGCGCAGCCCCGCGCGCAGGGCGGAAGCGGAAGCGCCTGTGCCCCTACTCCTTCGCACAGCGTCCCGCGAGCGCGCCCTGGTGCCCGCGCGGCGCCGCGCAGGCCCAGGAGCCACGGGCATGGGGCGCCGGGGCCCCGCCGCTTTCCCTGCTCCGCGCCGCAGCCCACGCCCGCATCCGCCTCCCGTTCCGGGGCCCCCGGCCCGCGCCTCCTCCCTGTCCCTCCGCGGCGGCACCTTGGCATCGTACAGCACTCGCGCCTTGGTGGGGTCAGGCTCGAAGCACAGCACTTTCTCCCCTGAGTGGAATTTAAATTTCATGCCCTCGCTCGCGTTCATTTGCTCATCGTGGCGGAGGGCGAGGCTCCAGGGCGGGCGGAGCGCGCGCGGTGGGGGAGGGGGGTGGGGGCGGGGAGGTGGCGTGCGGCAGCGGGGGTAGTGGGGAGGGAGGGAGCGGGGAATGGCGGAGGCCGCAGCCGCCCCGCCCTGCGCCCCGCCTCTGCCCGCCCCGCGCGCGGCCGGACCTCTGAGGTCCCGGGCGCGCGCGCGCGCGGCGCTTGATGGTGTCCCCGCGGGTCCCCCCCACTGCGGTCCCGGAGCCCGCTCCGAGGCCAAGGTCTTCCCGTAGAGCCGCTCCTCCCGCCCTCCCGGGGGCTGTCGTGCCAGGCGCGCGCGCCCTGGCCGGCTGGGTGGTTGGCAGGCCCTTAGGAGAGTGCCCTTCTGGGCTGAACACTGTCCCGGTGACTGCCGCCCGGGAGCAGCCCGGCCGCGTCGCCCACCTTAGCAGAGCCGCGCGCCGCCAAGTGTGGCTACGCTGGGAGGCCTCCGGGCTCAAGTCGGGTGTAGATGGGCAGTGGCCGTGGCCGGAGACGGGGGACGGCGAAGGCCATGGGAGGAGTGGACTAAGCACTTGGCATATCTGGGCGAGGACAAGCAGGTTGCAGGCCTGGAGCCCCGGGTGACAGCGGGTGAGCGGGGGTTGGCGAGGCTTATGGGTCGTTACCATATTAAGCGTGGGCTTTCAGCACACTGGGGGTTTCAATTCTCAGCAACCCACTTAGAGCTGCTCCCTGAAGGTGTGTCTCCACTGCCCCGGCAACCCCTAAAGGCCGCAAGTTCTGCGAGGCCGGTACGAGCAGCTACGTGCCCAGAGCGGGTGGTCAGGAGCCCTCTGATGAACGAAGGACGTGCTGGGAGACTATTCCCTAAGGGCAAATCTCCAGAGATAGGAAAGACGGTGCTGAGTTTGTGGGTGTGAGGAATGTAAAGTCTGGGCAGTGCAGTTACTGCATTAAGACCCGGCAGGAGACCAGCTTTGAGGCTCTGAGGTCGTGGGTGAACTGCCAGTTCTCCACACACTGGCTGCCTCCAGAAATTTGCACTTGCCTTCTCCTTCACTGGGTTTTGGTACACATCCTGCACATTTCAGCTAGAGTATTTCCCAGAGAAAATCCTCAGGCTTCCTTAGATAAACTACATATTCCTTTAGTACTGCCTCCCAGCCCTCTACTTACCGTTTCTTGCATTTACTACCCTACAGCAGAATGCCCTCTTTAAGATTCTCAGATCCTTGAAGCTGACGGGCTGGGAGGGGGATGGGGGAGCGCAGACTTCCAGATTTTCTGCCATTGTGAGTTGGGTGAATGATAGATCCATTGGCTAGAATAAGGGCTATCAGAGGGACAGCTTGGGGGAAGATGGCTAGATAATGACCCCTGTCCCGGGTAATAAAGCTGAGAAGCCAGAACTGGAGCTGTGATTCCTCTTCAGGTTGTGGTTTACCAGAAAGAAGATAGCGATCGTTGTGCTCCCCATAAATGGCAGAGTGAGCTCTAGGGCACAAGGAATTACATGTCAAGGCTAACATAACTGAAGTATTAGTGTTTTTATTTTTCTTGCTGGTGAATGGAGATTTCCTTTCCAGACTCTAACATTTCAGGGAAAGACTAGATGCTTGCTTTTGTTTATTTCCATTTCCACACCATCTTATGTCCTTCAGCAATGCTGTTTTCCCTGTTCCCCTAAAAAGTCCAAGAATGTAAAAAACCTTCAGGATCCTAACAGCTACAAATCCCAGCAATGGCAGCACCCCTTACAGCCCTCTACGTTAGGACCCACTGGAGAGGTCTCCATCTCTAATGGGGGTGGAGCATCGTTTTCCTTATTGAGTGTAAAGATAAAGAACGGGGTGGGCTCTGGGGTCCAGTCCCACACTGTGACTTCCTAGTTTGTGACCTTGGACAAGAGATTAGTCTCTCTGTGATACAGTTTTCTTCCTTTAAAGTGAAGATAATAGTGGCTTCTACCTAATAGGGTTGTTCTAGGAATAAATCAGTCCAGTGTAATGTCTTTGTGTCGTGCCTGGCATATAATAAGTGATGGGTAAATGCTTGCTATTAATATTAGACATTCCTTAACCATTTCTCGTCCCCCATTCATTAATTCAACAAATATTTATTGAGACTCTTGTGTACTGGATGCTAGACACACAAAGTAGAAAGCAGATGTTACCCCTGGCCTCAAAGAAGACACATTTCAGGAGGGGTAGAGCAACATGCAAGCAGGTGTAAGCTTCATGCACGCTCTAGTAAATTTCGTATGGAAGAGAGCAGACACAGTGCTTACATCTCCCTAGGAAGAGGCAGAGTTTCAGAAAAAAGCTCCAGAGAGGAAGTCATTCTTGTTAAATGCTAAACTAAAGCATATTAACAATTTTAAGAGGTTGAGCAAAAGTCCGTTGGAATCAGCACCAAACAGGAAGTGGTTAGGAGCACATGTCAAAATTCATCAAGCTGTACACGAGGATTTATGCATCTATGTATGTACGTCAATTTAAAGAAAAATGACCTCCCTGAAATTTGCATTTCTAGAGATGGCTCAGGGTTCCTAGAGAAGACCAGGAAGTACCATCTCAAAGGCACAGGGAAAGGTTGTAAGTTTCTCTCAAGAAGGGCTTTTGCTTTCTAAATCCAGATCTTTTACAATTACTGCAGTTAAACTGAAAGGACATCTAGACAGCCAGCTGTCCAACTGCAATGATCCTTGATTTGCTTCTTTACAACAGGGAGGTCTTCAATTAAGACGGAAATCAGTAGATTCCTATGTTCTAGATTTAAAGCTGTGTTTCTTTGCAACCTTTTAGCAAATCCTCTACAAGGGCTTCAGAGTGCTTTTCTTTCCGTCTGGCTACATAGTTGCAAGATTCTTACCCTTTGCAAGCTTCTGTCAGTTCCTAGGATGCTGTCTGCAAGCTCTGGAGTGAGTAGTGTATCCCAGCAGGTCTCATCCTTGTCACCAGAAAAATAATTTTCCCTCTACCCTTCATAGTGAGTGCCTGGCCGAAGAGTCCTTTTCCTCTAGGGCACCTGGTAAATGGATAAGATTATCCAAGACGGTTAAAAGTACCCCCACTGAGGCCACTGATACTTTCTTTTTGGTAAGGTTAACCTACTTGTTCAGCCTTCAGACAAAGTTTTATTCACCTGAGGCCTCACACTGTACTCTGTACCGTTTCAAAGGAACCAGCCCTCCCAACCCGGGCCCTGTCTCTAAGTCGGAACCGGTCCGCCCCCGCCCCCGTCCTGTTTTTAAGTCGGAACCAGCCTGCCCCGCGGTTTCTAAGTCGGAACCAGTGTGTTCCTTGTCCGGTTTTTCAGTCAGACCCAGTCCAACTTTGGCCAATTTCTCGATCCAGTCTGGAAGAAAAAGTGCATAAAGCCTGAAAGCTCATAATGCAAAAGCTGTGGAGCTAGGATCCAGGATCTGAGGAATTGCGCGCCACCTCCAGAGGCAGCGAGAAAGCAGCGAGCTCGAGGGCCTCAGCAGGTACCTATGCTTGGTTGCTCATTGCTACGGGAGGGTGTCGGGGGGCTTCTTCGGTTCCCTGTTCTGACATGAGAACTGTCAAAAGATAAACTGAGGCACATTAAAAATTTTAAGAGTTCACTTGAGCAGAAATTGATTCGAATCGAGCACCACCGAACTGAAAGTGGTTAGGAGCGCTGCACTGACAGGAGCTCAGGGAAAAATTTTATAGGGAAAAGGCAGAAAAAAGTAGGGAAATTATCGATTGGTTATAGCTTCAAGCCTTGTTGGCTCTTTATGATTGGTTGTTTTTAGCATTTTGATTTGATAACCTTGAGGCATTTACAGGCTTAGATTTTGTTTTGCTTAGGTGGGCCGCCAAGGCATTAGAACCAACTCAGTCTAATGGCTTTCTTCTTAAATTAATTTAACACTCAAGCTGGAATTTACAAGGTATTTTCTTCATTTTCCAGTTTTTGTAGGGAATTAGAGGATTAAGATAGTCATCAGATCTCTTATAAAAAATCTTTATTTCTCATTAAGGGTCATCTAGGGAGTGCCCTGCAGAGATCCCTTCTGTTAGCTGTAGCAAGGTGTGCTCGTGTGGTCAATCTAGCTGGTTGCTCACCCACAGCCTTCAGCTGGGCCCTGCTCCGTGGCTGCTGGCAAAGCCCGCAGTTCTGTTTACGTGTTTGCACTCCCAAGTTCTCAGTAGACCTCCCACCCGAGCTCATTCCCAGCGCAACTTGAGCAGTCTAATGCAATAGGGCTGGCTTCTGTTTACATTTGTAAATAGATACTTACATTGTAAGTATACATAAACATTACATTGTAAGTATGCATTTTCAACAGCTGGGGAACTTTTAAAACCTGTTGATGAGCACTGAAATTGTGTTCCCAAAGCTCCCAGGTGATTCCAACGAGCACATAGGGCTGAGAACCATTCTTACAGTGACTGGTTTTGGCATGGCCATGTGATACTCTCCTGGCCAATGAGAGAAGTTTTCATAGGGAAAGTGTCGGGGAGGGAATTTCTGGAAAAGAAGATTCTTCTCCCTCCCCCAAATAGAGATGGGTGTGGCATAAGCTCTCCTCTTCTTCACTGGGCTTTATTGTCTGACGGGAATGAGGTAAGTGCTGCAGCCATCTTGGCACCAGACTGATGGTCTGAGGATGAGGGCAAGTGAGGGTGGGCTCACTCACCTGGGTCCTTCACGCATTGTTGAGTTCCTGACTCACTGAATTAACCAACCCTGCTGCTGAACTCCAAGCTTCTTGCTGTGCGGTACAGGAAATCCTTTGCAGCCCGAACTATCCTGATCACACCACACCCCTCATGCAATTGTAGAGAATTAAGTTACTGGCATCTAGAATAACTTCTACGGCTGTTTGGTGATACTGTTGAGGTGGACCTCCCACAGTTAGAATGCATTTTTACCTGGACCTGAAGACAAAAGTGATAGTGCTTTTGAAATGGTACCTCACATGTATGCAGAATTAAATAGCCTTTGGGGATGCATGGGAAAACTAAGGGCCAGTCGTGATATGGTTTCAATTGGAATCTCTG